GGAGCAGCTCCTTCGAACTTCTCTCTCTCTCTCCGGTAACTTTTATTATCCTTTGTCTCTCTCTCAGCCTGCATGGCCGTCTGCCAATGTCTCACGTTACATCGCCCGGTCATGGCTTTTACTACACCCATCACCATATAAGGTAATCACTGCCCAAAGGAAACACAACTCCATATAAGGTCAGTACATTCTATACATTACAAGGCACAGACATGCTGGTCACCGAGATCAGCAGGCACCATGCAGCAATACAAGCCTCTGCCGTGGCTTTATGACTCCCACAGAGCAGATAGCCCCAGAGTGCCTGGAGCACCCCAGTTAGATGGGTGGCATATAAATAATAAAATTTATTACAGTACTATTAATATTATTTTTTTCCACACTAAAGTCTAGACCTGTTGAGGCACCCATGAAGGATTCCGGTAGTCCTCCTTCTGTACAGCTGTATTTACTAAAATTCTTTTTAATTCAGCTGTGCCTTGTCTTGAACCCTTTGACTTTTCCTGGGGCTCCAAAGACTCTTTCATTTATCCCCCTATTATTTAGAAGTCTCCCCAGGAGTCATGCCACAAGCCACATTTGACTGTGTGAACAAACCGCTTTCCGACAACAAAACAGCCTTAGAAAAGAGAAAATCCCAATATTGGGTGGATCAGCGTACATGACATGGTGGAGCACTAATTAATTTGTCTCCACATTGCCTTTGACAACCTTCTTTTGTTCCCTCACGGAAGGCCTTTTGTTGTATAGATTGAACCACAGGGGGATTAGCAAAATAAATACAATTACACTGAGCTACTTCCTGCTGATAAAGAACAGAAGTCAGATCAAACACAATGTAGACAATTAGCAACAAACAATTCAGAAAAGTTGATGTGCTCCTTAGTGAGGGGGAAGGTGTTTTCTTTGCCTCTTGCGCCTTACCATCGACACCACACCCAGAGGACGACTCGGGAGACCATACTTCGGTAGAAAGAAAGGTTAGATTTGTTCAAATATATTTCTTCAAACAGAACAACATAGAAGAGCTGCATATCAACAAATAAGCATAATTAGTCAAAGCAAAATATAGTCTGGGAAGCAAAGTTTCCTGAGGCAGGAGGTATTAAGTCCCTCCCCACTTTTATGAACCAGTGTGGTGTAGTGGTTAAGAGTGGTAGACTCGTAATCTGGGGAACCGGGTTCGCGTCTCTGCTCCTCCACATGCAGCTGCTGGGTGACCTTGGGCTAGTCACGCTTCTTTGGAGTCTCTCAGCCCCACTCACCTCACAGAGTGTTTGTTGTGGGGGAGGAAGGGAAAGGAGAATGTTAGCCACTTTGAGACTCTTTCGGGTAGTGATAAAGCGGGATATCAAACCCAAACTCTTCTTCTTCTTATTATTATTAGTGGCACCACCTGTGACCCCACAGCAAAGGATTGAAAGAGTATTTCTCCTTGCTATGATAACCTTCAGTGTGTGAACCTGGCCAGCTCTGCCAATGGCAGAAAGCTGTGTGTGAAAACCTGGCTCAGTAATGAACAAAGAAATGTTGTGTCTACTGGCAATGACATGCAAAACAACAGTAGATAGATGTTAGCAGAAGTGAAGGGACTTTGGGAAAGGTTTCTATATTGAAATTAAGAGGAGGTTGGAGGTGCCTTTTTCCAAAACTCCAGAAGTTCCTCTTATGTAAAGATAAAACTGATGAATGTTTTGGAGAGGAGGCTTCATGACTGTGTAACAACATCAGCCAGAGTGGCATGTATTGTGTGACTTTTGGGGGCTATGATGCACTTGTGTTCTGAAGGCATATGCTTTAGTTATACAGTGGTACCTTGGTTTACAACCATAATCTGTTCTGGAGGTCCACTTGTAAACCAAAACAGGTTGTAACCCAAGGCGTGCTTTCCCCAATGGGGCCTCCAAAGAAAATTTGTCCGTAATCCAAAAAAAAAAGAAGAAAAGAAAAAAGGATTCTAATCCAAAAAAAGGTTGCAAACTGGGACACACACTTCTGGGCTTGATGTGTTTGTAATCCAGAACATATGCAAACCAAGACGTATGCAAACCAAGGTACCACTGTATGAATAATGATATCCAAACTATAAACTCCAAAGCATGTATAACACTATAACGCCTGTCATCCCAGGTTCGCCCTCATTCTCAAATACCATTTCTTCACTAGGAAATAATGGCTACAAGGTAGCTCTTGACACAATGCTCTAGGATACAAAATAACCACCTGGAAAATCACTTCATGAAGGATTATTGCTGTTATTATTTTTAAAGACACAATTGTTGTACTACTTGATTCATGGATTTATAATCCTTTCATCCATCCACAATGACTTCCTTGCAGGATAAGAGCAAAGTGTTGAACAGGGAGGTTGAGAAGGATCTGAAAGCCATTTAACCCCACCCCATGGGGACAACTGTGTCAGTTTCCCCAGACATTCTTAATAGAATAACAGAAGGTCAGGGACAAGTGATGCTAGAATGCTCTGGCTGGGAATGCTTGATGGTTTCAGTTTCTATGAATCCCAGTGCAAACTTGACCTGATGAGCATCTCATCAACTGACCTGCAGATCGGAATGTTAATTTCCATTTAATTTTCTACTACTCCACATGTTGTGAAATGCTTCTCATCTCCAAAGGAAATGTACGAAAATGCATTGAAAACACATCCTTTGAGATTAAATCCATGTTTATCCATTTTATTAATTAATTAACCATTATAGTCCACCCATAATCTAATGCCACGTACCAGGGTAGAGCGCAACAAAGAAGTTAAACAAAAACATATAATTCACAATGGCCAAACCATTAAAAAAAGTCCATAGCAATCAAGAAGAGATGCTAAAACCTAAGAGCATGCTAAACTGACAACAATTAGCTAAAATGGTAAAAATGTCTGAACGAACATAGGGAGTTTAATCCAGCTTCATGGAGGCACATGATCTGGGTAGTATGCAGCTGAGGACTTGGATGAGGACAAGGTTCAGAATAATAGAATAATAGAATTGTACTTTGAAGAGTCCCCATGGCTGGTCCATTCCAAAGCACTTCTGATGAAGAGCACTAGGACATTAGGCCCTCCCAGCCAGAGGACAAAATCTTGCTTAGGTATATGCAAATCTGTCACTTTGCTTTTCTCTCAGCTTGTTTTTCTACTCTTAAATTCTGTTCTCCACATTTCCACATCCATTTCCAATTTTTTAAATAAAAAATCATCATGGGAATTTACCTGCACATTTGTGCAAATTTCTCCTAATGTACACATTTTAAAACACAATTTCCCCTAAGATTCACATGTCTGCAAAACCATTTTCCCCAATACAATGCATTTTTGTATGCAGTTTTCACTAATATATCCATATTGATACACATTTACCTGAGTGTGCGCACTTTTGTATACATTACTTGGCTTGAGAATGGAACTGCAAAATTCGGAGAAGTACAAATTACAAATTTCAAAGGATAGGTGTGTCTCAGTCCTTACATTGTTTCAGAAAAGGAGAATTAGGTATGTTTGCTGTTATAAGCAAATTTGAATCAAATTTCTCCCCCTTCCTCATCCTACCATCTTCTGACCCAAAAGATAAGCTCCACGCATTACTTCTGTCTCCCCAGCCCTGCTTGAAGCCACAGGCTACAAAATACTTTTCAGTGACTTTTCATTTTACACTGAATTCCATTTGTTTTTCTTGCTTTTGTTCCCCATTCATCAATTTTGAAGAGATCTTTGTGGAATTCTTCACAGTCTGCTTGGAATTTCACCATCTTGCATAATTTGATGCCATCTGACACATGCAAACTTGCCTATTTCACTGCACTTTCTTATAATGCATCAAATTAATGCAGAATCCAGTTCATTTATAATAAACTGAATTCCATGAGTCCCAGGATGAACCCTTGTCTAGATTTCATTCATTCTGAGAACTGTCAGTTTATTCCTACCCCCTGCCTCCTCTTCCTTAATTAACTGGTTTCCAATCCATAAGAGGACTCTTCCCTAGTCGCATAGCTGCTAAATTATCTCTGGATCCATTTCTGGCACACTTTGACAGAAACGTCCTGGAAGCCCAAGTCTATAATGTCTCAAAGAATTGGTGAGAAAAGCCTTTCCTTTGCCAAAGCCGTACCGATCCTTCCTCAGAATTATATATAATATTGAACTTAGGTGATCAAGTGCCTTTCATTTTGGAAGTGAAATGGCAGATTTCTCCTTACTTAGGGGACACCAAAGGTATTCAGAAGCATCTATGTTAGTAATTAAAAGCAAATAGAATAAGATTTAACCACTCCCCACCTCTACTTCCAACTCCAAAACTAGCCTAGTAAGTCATTCTGAGGTCCCAGGACTCACAGAATGTTGATGACAGTTCAGCCTAAAGAGAGGAGAGGAAGTAAGTCTAAAATCACCAGAAGCCATGAGCACTGTAGCTCCCTTGATTTGTTACAAGTGTGAAGGGGGCATCACTACTGCGGAACAGGGCCATGTTGTTTTGTGTGTGTGTGTGTGTGTGTGTGTGTAATTTTGATGATATGCAAAATAATGGAGTAACTTACAGCTAGGAAACTAAATAACTCTTCTAGGTGATTGATAGCTTCTTTGTAAAGACCATACAATGTCCAGACTCTTTATATTCAAAAGAACTTTAGTTTCATAAACATATAACTGAGAAGAATACATTTACAATGTCATGCTTATTCAAACTAGGGTACATGCTCACTTGAAATGTTCATTGAAGTCTTCTTACATAGACTTAGAAACAAAACTTGAGACTTGCATCGTAGTTTTACCTCAGTCAGGCCTTACAGTTTATTATGAAATGTCTTTTTTACTTTGGCCTCAGCAGTATTCTCTCTGTTCCATATAGAGAGCTCCTGCACAGGTTTCTCCCCTTTAATGTTTAGGGATCTTCCTCTGTCTGTTTCATTTCAAACTGATCCCACTGACATAACACTGTCCTCAGGGATATCCCAAGAAACATCTCTCAGCAGCCATTCTCCCTCACATGCAGAGAAAGAACCAGAAAGCAGTTAAAAAAACAACAATTACTGGAATAACAGTCACAACAGAATGGAATGCTTCGTATATGACTCACAGGACTCACAGTCAGCCAATCACGTGGGAGCTGCTGCCAAAGGAAAAACTCCATGTTAAAAGTACGCAGTAATTTAACATACAGTATACTTGAATCCCTTCGACGGGATGAGGTCCCGTTACTCGGTCCCTGCTCCTGCCAACCTAGCAGTTCGAAAGCACGTCAAAGTGCAAGTAAATAAATAGGTACCACTCCGGCGGGAAGGTAAACAGCATTTCCGTGCGCTGCTCTGGTTCACCAGAAGTGGCTTAGTAATGCTGACCACATAACCTGGAAGCTGTACGCCGGCTGCCTCAGCCAATAAAGCGAGATGAGCGCCACAACCCCAGAGTCATCCGCTACTGGACCTAATGGTCAGGGGTCCCTTTACCTTTACCTTTTTATGCTTTTGTAGTAGAACTTTCTTCCATATCTATCCCCCACATGTACTCAGTGCCTTCCCCAAATCTGCACCAGAGTTCAGTGTTCACACATTACAGTGAACTCAGGTACAAGCTGTCTCTACACATGTACAAGAGCTCATGTGAAAAATTGTGCACTTGTTCATTTACATTGTGCACACAAGTGCACAGCCTATATGCTCACTAAACATTGCATGTGTATTACTGTACATGTGTACAACTCAACTATTGTGTACATAGATACACATACTGTATGTTGTTAAATGTAATGGGTGAACACTTCTTATATGTGTTTTCAATGGTGGTTTAAAACTCCATAAGGAGGGACAGTTACCAATCAAGGCATTACCTCCATTTTAGCCCCTCCCAGGAGAATGTATTCTGTGTATTGATTGGGGCAGAAGATGAAATATTGAACCACTAGCTTTCTGTTGGTAAAAGTCAAAGAGAATATAAATGTCCAATCATGTTGTTTTGATTGACAGAGACATAAACCAATTGGAATTTTCTTTCTTTTTTAAATCTTCCCAGTGGGGTATTTTTATCCAGTTGAATTCCATGCATCTGAAAATAAAATTCTATACAGCAAGAGTTTTGTAAAAGTGGAATGTTTACAGTATATTTCCCCAGGTTCCACAACAATTTGCTATTGCCTTAATATAAATGGGAGAGTGTAGCATTTGATAGATGGCTGAATAGATGACACAGTTTGATAGATCCTTGTTGGCCAGCTTCTTGGAAAGTTTAAATTTGATAAAACTTCCTTCAAACTCTTTCCAGCCCTACAAGAGCCCAAAAGGATGATATTCACAAGTACAATTGGATTCCAGCTGGTAACAAAAGAACTAAATCAGAATTGAAGGCTGATAGGAGGTTGTCATCTTCTTGAACTGTTGCAGCTTCAGAACTTTAAAGAGCTGCAAAGGAAAGGCAGGAAGGGGAAGGGAACTGCTTGAACTGCACCACAGATATGACAAAATGATCAAAACAAGCAAACGGTGGCAATATCCATTTTTCAGCATTGGTAATGCTAAGTATCTAAACATCTCACCGTGAGCTTGGCTACGTAACACAAATGAGAACATGGAACAAGAGAAGCACAGAGAATCTTGGTTCATCTTCAGACAATAGTATTTGTCTCAGGTATGGAGCAGGGAATAATCCAATTCAGTTGTCATGTAAAGGTGACTATCAAATTTGCACTTTTCAAAACAGAATGAGAACTGCAACACAGCCAACATTTGACGTTCAAACGTCTCAGAATTTTGCAATGCAGATCTCCAACCAGTGTTTTACAAAAATGCATATATTAGAGAACACTGTGCATGAAAATGATTATTATTTTTTTGGAAAAATGTAAGAAAAAAAGTATTTTGTTAGGAGAAATTGCTAGCAAAAATGTGTTCGTTATTCAAAACTGCAAACAAAAATGTCTTTATTATGAGAAAGTGCTGGAGAATTTTCATGAGGGTTTAAAAGAAGATTTTGCGAACTGTTGAAGTAATGTGACAAACTGAATTTAAGATTGGAAAAATGAGAAACTCAGAGAACTGAAATTAACACATCCTTCCATTCCCTAGTCTTAAGTGAAGGCTGCTTAGCACCATGCAAATGGAAATCCAATCTATGTCCAGTCATTCATCTCTGTAATAAGAACATCATAAGATCTCTACTGGATCAGACCAAAAACCTACCTAGTCTAGCTTCCTCTTTTCCACACCAGGAAGGACTGTCAAACAGAGGAACAGACTCCCTTGGGAGGTTGTAGACTTTCCTGTATTGGAGGTTTTTGGGGTCCCTTCCTCCTCTACAATTCTATGATAACTCAATTTTCCATTCATTCCAAAACGAAATGTTGAGCCTTGCTAGTTTCCAAGGGGTCTGATCTTAGGCAGGCCTTGCTTCCTGGATACTGAAGTTCTCATGGACTGTCTGACATGGGACCTCAAGGCTCAAACAAATCAAAAATCTCAATAAGATCCCAACTATAAATTACCTCTCTCCCCCGCCCTCATTTCAGCCTCACGTTGCTGCTGTATTCATTGTTTGCCACCGGTTCCAATGCTATGGATATGCAAACTAGCAATCCTCATAATAAATCATAATAGGGGGATATTGCTTTTTTTCTTCTCTTTTTTTACAGAAATAAAAAAAAGTACTCAAACCCATTATAGTTCATTTCCCTCGGGAGTGAATCAGGAACATGGCAGGATGCCAAAAGAACTGAATATATATTGCCTTTTTCACAGAAAAACCCCTGAAATAAGAGTAATCATGCTTTGTGATGTAGAAACTCCCTAATACAGAACTCGCAGTAGCATATATTGAGATATTTATGGCCACAGAGTTATTATGATGAGTATGGATGCTGCTGTCCTGCTTTGCGGCTGCTGGGGAAATATTAATAGTTAGAAAACTTGTCTCATCTTTGTCTACAACTATAATTTGTGAGCTATAATATTTCTGCAAATGAGAGAAACAGCAGGAAGATTGTGCTCCAAATACTTCTTTTTAAAAGAAAGGCATTTCATGTGCAGTGGCAGCTGCAAGGAGCTGGCAAAGTTCAGCTCAAATGAGCAAAAGTGCAAATTAGGAGAGCACAGTGCTAACCGTACAATTGTAATGAGTGTCCTGACCCTAGACCTTGCAAGGTGCAATGCATTTGTGGGTGCTGCCCATTGGGACTGATAGGGCAGAAGGCAGGGAGGTAAAAAGTAGGTGGAGCCAGAGTTAATGACATGCAGAGCCACCTAATTCTAGGCGGTTGAATTATTACGGGAGAAAAGTTTTTATCCCTTTCTCATAACACTAAAACATGGGGACATCCAATGATATTGGATGCTGAAAAAATCAGGCAGACAATAGAAAGCCTTTCTTCATAAACTGCCTAAATGATTGAAGTTGCTCCCACAAGAAGTAGTGATGGTCCCCAACTTTGATAGCTTTTAATGCTCTTCATAGGGATGCGGGTGGCACTGTGGTCTAAACCACAGAGCCTAGGGCTTCCCAATCGGAAGGTCGGCAGTTCAAATCCCCACGACGGGGTGAGCTCCCGTTGTTCGGTCCCAGCTCCTGCCAACCTAGCAGTTCAAAAGCACATCAAGTGCAAGTAGATAAATAGGTACCGCTCCGGCGGGAAGGTAAATGGCGTTTTCATGCACTGCTCTGGTTCACCAGAAGTGGCTTATTCATGCTGGCCTGATTACCTGGAAGCTGTCTGTGGAAAAACGCCAGCTCCCTCGGCCAGTAAAGCAAGATGAGCGCTACAACCCCAGAGTCGTCCAGACTGGACCTAACGGTTAGGGGTACCTTTACCTTTACCTTTTAGTGCTCTTCATGCTCGGGGTATCTCAGGCGGCAGAGCTTCAGAGTCATTGCTATAGCTGCCTTGCCAACATATTTGTTCGGTCAATTAAAAGGTTGCTGGTTGTGGAGCCCAGGTAGGCAGTTAATCTCTTCAATAACATCCCAGACCTGCGGTGCCACTACCTGTTCCAGTATGTTGCCCCAAAATGGGATATTGGATACTGACCAATAATTATCCAATGCAGTAGGATTCAGAGAGGCTTTTTCAATTGAGGTCTTTAAGAATGTCGCCTTTAAGTATGCAGGAATCCTGCCTTGTTTTAAGGAGGCATTGATCACTCCCTTCACTCACCCAGCAAGGCCCACACTGGTCTGTTTGTTGAGCCAGGAAGGGCAAGGATATTATTATTATTATTATTATTATTATTATTAATAATAATAATAATAATATTACCCCACCCACTCTGAGCGGCTTCCAACAAAATATTAAAATACAATAATCTGTTAAACATTAAAAGCTTCTCTAAACAGGGCTGCCTTGAGATGTCTTCTAAAGGTCTGGTAGTTGTTTATCTCTTTGACATCTGGTGGGAGGGCATTCCACAGGGCAGGTGCCACTACCGAGAAGGCCCTCTGCCTGGTTCCCTGTAACTTGGCTTCTTGCAGTGAGGGAACCTCCACTGGACCTCAGTGTCCGGGCAGAACGATAGGGGTGGAGATGCTCCATGTAGCTGTCACATCTCCAAGGATCTTGTCCACATCTTTGGATACAAATTGAAAAGTATCCAATAAAAGTGGACAAGCAGAGGCCAAATTCACATCTACCAGACCTGTATCAACCGTATTGTCCAAGTCCTAATGGATCAGAGTGATTTTGTCAGTGAAGTGCTGAGCAAATTGTTCACAGTGGGTTGCTGAGTGGTCTAAATTCTCCTCAAGTGGGACAGAGTGCAAAAGACCCCTGACCACTCTAGACTTCTCCGCTAAATGGCTCCTCTCTGATACAATGGAGACAGAGAGAGAGAGAGAGAGAGAGAGAGAAATTCTGGTTGCATGCATTCCCACAGAGTATGTCTTCAAAGAGGCTCTATCCTGTGTCCAGTTGGACTCATCCTGAGTTTTCACAACAATGAGCTGCACTGTAAAAATATTGGATCCAGCACTTCATATCCCCATGGTGGATCTGAGGTAGTGATCATAATGGACATACATGTTTGGGCAAGGAATACATACACCATTGAATTACAGCTCACAATAATGTTTTCATACTACACCTCTCTGTAAAATAAAATAAATCACAGATCCAGTCCCACCAAACTCCACAACAATTCAGCAGGTCATAAACCAGCCTTCCTCCACCTGGTGCCCCTCAGGTGCTTCAGACTACAACTTTCATCAGCCCCAACCCGGACAACCAATGATCAAGAGGGACAGGAATTGTAGTCCAGACCTGAAGTTCAGTAAGATAGACCTTGGTTACATCCAGGAAGGTAATTCTTAACAATCTATGAAAAGAGTGTAAACGCTAGACTTGCATGTGATGAAAGACATAATATGCAAATCGGCACAGCCCTTAGCTTCACAAGGGTCGGGAACCCCTGCTGTTGATTAAGAACATTCCTTGATGGAGCTATAAATATGGAACATTATCCTGATTAATTTGCCAGCATGCTATTGCAGAACTGTGTTCAAGAGTAACTCAGTACCCTTGATTGACATTGTGAGAAATAAGGAATACCACACACAAATCTTAGGAGCTTATAAATGGCAGCCATCCTAGTCATTGGATGGTCCTCTTAGTTGTTAGGTCCTCTTAGTTGATGGACCTATGTGATCAGTGGTGGTCAATCTTTTTCACAAGCATGTCTCAATTTGAGTCCTAAGTATGAATAAAATCTGTGGTTCTCCAGATGTTGGTGACTCCAACTCCCATCAGCCTATGTCAGCATAGCCAACGGTTGGAGTGGTTGGAGTTGCAATCAACATCTGAAGGGCCACAGGTACCCTATCTGTGACTTCAAACTTAAATCTCCTGGTAGAAGAGAGCACACTGTTTCCTTAGGCAATCTGTCCCTTTGGCCAATTGTTCTTATCATTAGGAAATTTCTCCTAAATGTTAGCTGAAATCTGCTAAACTGCAATTTCTACTCATTCATTTTTAGACCTCTGCAGAAATGGGACTTGCTGGATGGGTGAAGGGAGTGGTCAGTGCCTCCTTACAACAAGCTTCAACAAGTTACTGTCTTCTATAGAGCAGCCCTTCAGATATATGAAGACCACTACCATGCCTCCCCTTAATCTTCCCTTCTCAAGGCTAAAAGGAGACAGCTCTTTCAGTCATCCCTCATAGGACTTGTTTTCACCATCCTGATTGCCCTTTCCTGCACACATGCCAGTTTACTAACGTCCTTCTTAAAACATGGCACCCAGAAAATAGCACCCAGAAAATACATTGACACAGTGGACTCCTGATGTGGCCCGATGAACACAGAAGAACAGAGTGGAAGTATAATTCACATGATCTGGACACTATGCTTCACTAAAGGCAACATTT